ATGTGAATATTGGAGAAAACATTTTCAGACAATATGTTTGATAAGTGATTGAATCGGTTCTCATAATTAGCGCCAGAGATGAACACAAATGTAATATAAGGTGCCGTAGAGTACGGGTAGAGTAGGGATAGTATTACCTGTCGTAGAGTGCACTGACTGTCAGTACATTGTGTACTAAACTTACAGTGCCTTACAGTTTGACTTCAACTGCAAAACAGGGGGCAAAAGGGGGCGAATGTAAGCAATGGTCACGTTATTTATGACAACAAATGATGTAATGTTTTGATTCAAAACTTTTGAATCAATGTTTACGTAACGAAAGTGTTGACAAGTTTTGAGACAATTTGTGGTGAATTGGCGAAGAGATTGACGAAGAGATTGTCATCGGATTTGGTTTCAAATGAATCCCAATATGGGATCAAATGTGTTGTCAAACACTTCTGGAGGACAACCGCCACAACACATGCACTCGTCGTCCGCACCATCGCTGGTGAGCACATCCATCACATCCATCAGCGGACACACCAATGGACACAACGGACAGCAGATGGACAGCACTTCCAACACTTCCACCACTACTGCCATCACTTCGATGAACCCAATGGGAGGACAGGGAGGAGTGCCTGCGATGAACATCGCATACCTCTGTCGTGTCGGCGATGAGACGGTCCACGAGATTGTGTCCAAAACGGGAGAACTGTTTCAGTCGTTGCGAGCGATGTCTCCATCGGTGGCCAACACTCATGAGCGACAACTTCGGGCCAAAGAAGTGATGAAAAGCATTGAGTTTTTGTTCAGACGTTTGCGCAAAATGTACGACAAGTGCAGTGAATGCATGTCTGGACTCGACTTCATTCAGATCGAGACAATCATTCCGATGAAGGACTCCATCCAAGACTCGCACCGACTCTCAGACTCCGACAAGAAGTCGGTGGCAGTGAAGCAGTTGGACAGAGAGGCCAACGAACTCACGGATCTCTTGCTCCTCAAGAACCGACAGATCAAAGAAGTGATCGACAATTTGCGGGCAATTGTGTGGGAAATCAATGCTATGCTCGCTATGAGGAAGCCGTAGACACAGCACACCCTACCCTACCCTACCCTACCCTACCCTACCCTACCCTACCCTACCCTACCCTACCCTACCCTACCATACAATCCATTCATTCATATTTATAATTAAAATCAATACAAACTTATATTTTCAATAAATTCTTGACATTTAAATGATAAAGTGTTAAATAAATTGTAATTTTCAATGCGATATCGGTTTATGATTATTAAATAATTTTAATAATTTAGTTAAATTAGACAACTATTTTAATTAAAACAAGATATTTAAAATGTAAAATTAACTCTCAATGTATTTCATGTATTGCAAGAAATTGAGAATTTAATACAGAATCTGAATAAAGTAACGTTAATTTGCAACTGTTTTAACTGTTAATGCAACAAATTTAGTATTTCAAAAATAATTGTTGGAAAGTAACCTATTTTGCTCTTAATTCAGAACACGCATAGTTTGTATACCCTGGTCATCTAAANGGAGGACAACCGCCACAACACATGCACTCGTCGTCCGCACCATCGCTGTTGAGTACATCCATCAGCGGACACACCAATAGACACAACGGACAGCAGATGGACAGCACTTCGATGAACCCAATGGCGGGAGTGGGAGGTGTGGGACAGGTAGGAGTGCCTACGATGAACATCGCATACCTGTGTTGTGTCGGCGATGAGCCGGTTCACGAGAATAAGGTATAAATAATTTGACAAAAATGTAGAATTTATTAAATATTTTGTTAAAAATCTTATTTGAAAACTAGTAAATAAAGTCATTTAACATTTGATTTAATCAAAGCGTTTGTCTTATCATTTAAAATAACAACAATTTCTTATATAATCATAATATATAACATTAAATAAAATATTTTACTAAATAATTAAAATTAATGATCAATTTGTAAATAAAATCTTTTCGTATCATTTATACAATAATTAGTTTGCTTTCGGATGGGATGGTAGTGTGGGAGAGGGATGGAAGGGAATGGGAGAGCATTTGAATCACAACTATTTGACATGAAATGAGGGATACAATGAGACATCGGATCCAATGGTTCAGTGGTGTGTGTTTTGGCAGGAAATGCTGCGATCGTTCAAACAAATCCAAAAAGACATCAAAAAGTAATCCTAATATTTATATAATATATAAGTTATGTAACATTTGTTTAATAAAATTATGCCTAATTTGTTGTATAATCACACGATTACGGCTTTCATATCATCAATGATTTAGTTATACATTCATAGAATTATATACGCCTTTCACTCGTATATAAAGTAATAATTATAACAAAACTAACGGAGAGATCATTAGAAATGAGAGACTTTTATATTCACTGAGGGTTTTAAATGCCACAAAAAAAAGGTGGCTTTCATTTTCAATGTGTTTTCTGAGTGAAGACTATACCCGAGAAAGAGAGAGAAGAAGAAGAAGAAGACAAAAATATTCAATATTTTTAAAGTTATAATAAATACAATGTTTTCGTGTTTTCAGTTTCTCTTCACTTTTAAGTCACTATAAAATAACCACAAAATTCATATCAAATGCTTGAAGTCTTTGATGATTCGCTTCATTGGTTTCGTCGCCGATTTTAGGAGTCTTTCCTCTGTGGCGACGACTTTAAGTAAAATGTCTTCAACTGTCCCTTCCCTTTGACGGTAACCAGCCCTCTTTGTTCAAACGTGAACCCGAACTCCTCCAGTATTCGGGCCGTCTCTTCCACTACCTGTCCGTCCGTACAAACAGTAGTCGTTATTCAATAACATGTCATACATTATATAACTTTAATTATAGTGCCTATAAAAGTGCATATCATTGGAGAATAACTTATGTAAATAAAGTGGTATCAAATTATATTATATTATATTATATTGTGTCGTAAAAGCGAATGTATAATCAATTTAAGAAATAATATTTCGACGGCTAATACATTTAGTCAATAGTCGTCTCTTTTATCATTCAAATTGAATAAAACTTTTAGTTATTCTTTATTATCAAAACTTTATTTTTTTATAACTATATTAAAATCAATACACAAAGAGATCTATTTCTCACATCTCTATAGTTATAGAAATGTAAGCAAATTCAGCGAATCTCTAATGTGTTTAGAGATAGAGTTACAGAATATTCTAAATTTATTTCGACTCTAAATATAGGATTTAAAATGTATACTCACTTGAATACAGCCGGCTTTGCCCGTACTCTCCATTCTTTAATATAAAGTAAGAAAATATACATCAAATTCATGACATTCAACATTTTATATTCTATATACAAGTTAAGAAAAA